GTGTAAAAACTAAAAAAGGTTTCTGTATTGATAGCCTTAAACGACATTTTCATAGCAAGCTGCAATCGTAGCCACGGTATGCACCCATGACTACAACACAATGGACGGAACATATTAGGTTGAGTTGAGCCCCGTATTCAAATTATTCACACGATTAAATGGATTTATCTTCGTACTGTTTGCGGCATTTGTGTGTATGCATACACGGTACAGCCGCTTTATCACAGTGTGACTATTTGACAACTGAATTTTAAGCAGGAAATCAGTTTCACAATAATTGATAAATGTCGTATTTTAAAAGAAATATTAGCTTATAGCGGCCGCCCGCGACTTGGTCCACGTAAACTTTAGTTTTTTGAGAATACCTCAGGAACCTTTTTTTTCGAGATTAAGAGTATCCTATTTCAATCCATGTATGTCATTCATCCAAATCCGTTCAGCCGTTTTTGCGTGATTGTGTTGTGTTACAAACATAGAAACTTTCACATTTATAATATTAGTAGGATTAAGTAATATTTTAAGTTAAAATCTGTTTTAAACATCGCATTCGTCTAAACAATTTAAGAAAATTTAATTGTGATTGGTTTCTTCCAGTTCCATAATTCATTTAAGTTAATGAGACAATTTATTTGGCTTTACGGATATAGGTATTCGTTATTTTCAAAGTAAGTGCATAATTATGTGAATTTTTAAGTGTGATTGCGCTTACTGGTAGTTGGCTCAAGAGATTCATTTGCAATTCATACGGTTGTAGAGTTGTGGAATTCCAAGTGTCGGCTTTAATGCCGACGATAACCCCGTTTTATAGCATTAGCACGTACCAAAGTTATTTTTTGTATTTTTTTTTATATAAGCCCTTTGGATGTTTATACCTTTTAGATAACATTATAATGTTATAAATTTTAAGCAGCAATATGCATTGTAAAAAGCTAACATGAGTGTCGTGGAATACTCGGATGGGAAGAAGTTGAAAATATAAGTACCTAAGTACTATATACGTAAACATCTACACAATACGCTACGAAACAGCTGACGGTCTGGAAAAACTTTACACTTATTTTCGCCTCAAGTCCGTATTGTGCGATAGGGAAATCGATCCAAAATGGTAGATCACTGCATAAGAGATAAAGTTTGTTATTCCTTTCCAGACAATAGTTACATACCATATTCATGACGAACTATGTAAAATGAAATTAAATGTCTTTTGTATTTTTTTATTTCTTACTCGACTACGTCGTCGACTTATCAACAAAGTCTCACATTATGAACCGCTTTTATGTACTCACCAACCTACTTAGTAGATCCTTTATCTCGAAGCTAATTCATACCGCGGCCCCGCCATTAAGTCGACGTAAATAAACGGGTATTAAAACACAAGAGTAAAGAAGGCACAGAAACAAAACTTCATACAATTGCGTGGCGTCGTCAATGCAGGAGCACAGCAACCCGTAGGGCACGGGACGAGCGGGGCGAGGGGCAATACTGGTAAAAGGATGAAGAAGCTTTCAGGATCGCATTCGCAAACCAGTGTCTACAGATTAGGTGACATGCCGCTAATTGGGCTATCTTGCGGACCGCTGCGGTTACGAAACATATTAAATGGCAACTTGTCGCTTGTTGGGTGACAGCATTGCATGATGGGCGTTACGTGATCTTTTAGTTAAATCATGGTACGATTATTTTCATCGCACGACGAAAATTCGTCGTGCTATCATACGATTATTGGCAATTAACGACACTTGCGTGTATGTGAGCACTGGCAGCCTGTCACGTACGCAGACAAACGTTTCTATTCGCAGAGACCGCCAGTGCTCACCTCACGCGCACCGCATTCAGTTACCCTTTTGCCTTCTTTACTCACGTGGTTGCGTTTTCCCAGTCGCATCGGTCCAGACATGGCAATGGAAAACGTCGGCGGTATTCGTGCAACTTTATTGTTCCGCGCCGCTTAGGCTGGAAACAGTGCTCTATGTATGCAAGTCTATGAATGCGCATAAAGCTACGCTGATGGTACGCACGTCATTTGGTACGCGCGTACGGTCGGTCGAGCTGTCGGTCCGGCTCGTCGGTCGCGCGTACGTCGGTCGACCGACGAGCTATGAGATTGTATGGACGCGTTCAGTGCATCACTAACGGAGCGACCGGCCATACGCGCGTACGTACACTCAAAGCCAAAATGAATATTAATACATTCGTCCGGCAATATGGAATTTATCTTATGTATTTTATAAAGCCCGTGATACTAAATAAGTGCTTGGCAAGAAGTTTGTAAAAATTTATTGAGCAAAAAAAAACATGCACACAAGGCCGGATTTAGAGGTCCAGAGGCCTCGGGGCAACAGAATAGAATAGAATAGAATTAGAATAGAATTAATTTATTCATAAACATAGGTACAATAGTGATGTTACAATAAAAGTATTAGTCCTGTCTATGTTTCACCATTCTGGTATATGAATTTGTGAAGTTATTTATATATTATTATATTATTTACAATTCCTGTTATAACAGAGGAGCGGAGGCCCCCTCACCCCAAATTATTTTCCAAATAAAGTAAACAACTTTGGTAAAGTAAACAATGTTATATGTACAAAGTACTGTAGGCTGTAGGTAAAGGTAAAAGAGCAAAAAAAATATATCAAAGGAAAAGATGTTTACTAGTTATGTTTTTATATTTATTTTTAAGCATATAACTGCTAGACGTTTAAATCTAAAGAAAAGTTTACTAGTGTTTACTAGTTGGAATTTGAAAGATTTTTTTTTCCGAAGTCTCTATTGTGGGGGCCCCCCGTTTGTGGAGGCCCCGGGGCTTTCGCCCCGGTTGCCCTCCCCTAAATCCGGCAGTGCATGCACATATTACAGCAATAGGGTTCATTTTTCTCGTGAACTGTACACACGCGCTGCCGTTCGCCGTCAGCGTAGCACTGAATCACAGACTATTTAGATACTACGTGCACTGAATGCATTTTCGCAACCGACGGTCAGCGCTGTCGGTCAGGACGTACCGTCACTCGAGCACTGTTTCCAGCCTTAAAGATCTGAATATGCAATCCGCTACTTGCGAGCCCTCTCACTAAGCCATTCGGTAGCTAGTTTTGTGGGAGTAACAAAGGGCAATTTGGCATGCTTTTTATGCACTATAAAATATGTGAATTACACGAGTAACAACAACAAGAGTCAATAAATAAATAAAGTTTCGTGCATTAACCCGTAAAAACTAGTTTTATTTAATGAATGATGTGCGTGAAAACCTAAGAAACAAATAACAAGATACAGTTTGTTGGAGTTTAGAATAAAATTGTTGTTGTGAATTAATTCCGCTCAAAAGTGCGAGCTTTAGTTATATTACAAGCATAGATAGAGCAATCCTTCATTTGGATGCAAAGAAAACGGCTTATTGTGACGGATATTGATCCGTCGCAATTAGCGCTCACAACTCCAATGGCGGCACTTCACTTGGGCATTCGTATTTGCCTTTTTGTCATTTTTAACAAATAATCAACAAGTGTGGTTAATTTGATCGACAAACAATTTGCTTAATTGCTAAACATCAACATTATTGACAAATAAGACAAATGATCGTCATCACGCTTATGGTGGTAGCTGTGGTTTTACGTTATTTGGCTCCACATGTGGCTGATTTTTTCATAAAAATAGATATAAAATAGTAAGTCTATGGATGTAATGTCTTTGGTTTTTGCTATTGGCATGTTCGTGACCAAGTATAATAAATAAGTAAATAAGTTAATTTGACTAAACATTGGCTGTATTCGCATGTTTAGCAAACAGGACAAATACAATCGCGCGTTGTCGGTTTTTCAGCGCACATCAAAGAGGCACAGATTAGCAAAACATGCAATTATAGTGTAGCCACTTTTTTGCTCTTACGGTGAATTTGCCACTTCTAGTTATTAGGATCAGGGTAGAGGAATGTTACATTATAAATTAACCAGGCCAGAATAAATAATAAACTTTTAGATTCACAAATTACATGTGCCAACTCTAGGCCTTTTTTGGTGACGGGCAATGTTGTCAATCATAGGTTGGAACAATACTGGATAACTTTGCCAATCATCATAAAATGAGTTTTACTAGACCCTGAGCAATGGCACTAGCACTAAAACGGTCTGAAAATAGTTTATTATTACATGTTATAAAGCAAACAAACCTATATTTTCACCTTTATGCACGATTGATTTATAAAATAGTATTTTATTAAAAGTGTACCAAAATTTACACATTTAAATTTACACGCAAAATACACATTATTAGGTGAAGCTAGGAATACATAGAAAAGTTTGTAATGCCAGAAATATAACATATTTTTACCCAAATTAATTCATGTTGGCCATAATATTAAGATATTTTTGCAAATCAAAGATTTCTTTGTAACTTGCTAAAATGGCAAAGATACCCTTGTAGACAATGTTGGCGTATTTCCCGGTACACAACTACACGCCATTTTGATACTTTTCACGTCTCATTATAATATCAGCAGGGAATTATGTATTAATATCTCGCTGCAAGAGCAAATTCCTCCGCCATTTTGTTAACATTTTGAAGTTTCGATATTTCGAATCACAAATGTTTGTGATATTTGTGTTTATTTTCGTTAATCTGTGGTTATTCGTTCTTAGACGCCATGTGTGGATAGTCATATTGTCGTGTATTTGTATTGCCGTTTTCGTAATTTTTTGCCAAAAAATTTGTACACTAGAACGCAAACTCCGAATAGCCAAGTAATGTGCCGACGATGTCAGATTGTTTGAAAGCAGTCAATGTGTGTGTGTGTAGCGACGACTGTATCTACCATATGTAGTAAATATTTTTGGGCCGCTTCCGTGCAGTTAAACTGTCTCACAGAGGCCTGTGGCCGCGGCCCGGATGGCGGCCATTTGTTTTAGCTTGCAATGTATGCGAGTGTTTAAACATAATCGACCAATAAGGGCTGACCTTGAATTTTCTACGGAGCATAAATCTCTTTGGCAAAGATTACATCACAAGAGCTTCGCTTAGTGACTAATCAAAGTGAGTAAACATTTTGCATAATATTATATATCACATGTTTATATATGTTTCTTTAACCTTAACAAAATTAAAACAATATTCAGTTGCGCAATAAGAATGTCTTATTTAATGTTCAAATCATGTGTAATATTATCATTGTTACGGCGGTTACCAAAGACGCTTGGACCCTAGGACTGTTGCCTGTTCCTGGGACCAGAAGATTATTGCCGTTGTAAATTGGACGAGGAGATAAGCCACCACCGACCACCGGTTGGATACCGTTACCTGAAAGGTAATATCACTATCATCATCTTATTAATAATCCCATTGCCAGGAAAATCCCCATCAAACATCACCCTATTAACTACTGCTGCTGGGGCACACTTCCCTACGGACAGAATGTTATAGGGGTACCAAACTTATCAACCACACAGTCAAAGTAGGGCCTGATTGCAGATGAAACCAGGACCAATGGCTGAATGCGCCCTTCGCCTTCCTGAACACGGGACGGGTAATAAATTATAATATTCTTATAGTAATATAAGTTATTTACGGGATTGTAACAATGTATCTTGTTTTTAGGGAGTTTAATAAAATTGTCAAACTAACTCAAAAATCGCGAAACATTTATTTTATTAATAATTCTAGAAACAAATCAAAAGCAACATGGCAAATTATTAATAAAGCAAAAAGAAACTTACCAAACGAGGAAATTAGTCAAATAATAGTAGATGACAATATAATTACAGATCCTAATGTTATTGCTGATAATTTTAATGACTTTTTTATCTATCACAAACTGACATCAGATAATATTAGCTTGGACAAAACTTTGATATATAATACTATTAATGCTATTATATGCCATTCATTATTTATAACTCCGGTAATTCCTCATGATACATTTTGTATTATAAAATCACTTCGAACCGTAGTTCGTACTATTAATAGTAAATAGTACTTGTAATGACGACATTAATAAAAACATTTTAAAATGCGTGAATGACATCAAATCACCGATTATTACACATATTGTAAATTTATGTTTTGAGAACGGTATTTTCCCAAATAGCTTAAAAATAACAATAATAAAACACCTCTTCAAAAGAGGCGATAGAGATAACATGTCTAATTATAGACCTATAGCATTGGTATCTGTTTTGTCCAAGGTGTTTGAAAAAGTAATATATGAAAACCTATACTCATACTTTCAGAATAATAACTTACTAGCTCATGAATGGCAAGGATTTCGTAAAAATAAAAGTATTAATATGGCAATATCTGAATTTGTATATAAAATTATTTCTTGTATGGACTCGGGTAAGCAGGTTGTGGGCTTGTACATGGATTTGACATAGGCATTTGATTTAGTAGATTTGAATATCATATTTGATAAATCATATTGGATAAATTATATAAATATGGTGTGCGGGGAAATATTCTTGAGCTTATAAAATCCTACCTCAGTAATAGACAGGTTAGAACTCAAATCGACAGACTTTGGTATAAAACTAAACTTGAAAAGTTATATACATCTTCATGAAGGAAAACAGTTTGTGGTGTCCCATAGGGTAGCGTATTTGGACCATTATTTTTTAATGTATATATGAAATGATTTTCCTAAATGCATACAAAGTCCCATGATCATGTTTGCAGATGATAGTGCTATAATATTGAATGTAAAAATGAAAACGATTATGAACTTTCAATAAATAATGAGACTTTGATAATCAATAAATTCAATAAATAAAGAACTTTTAATAATAAAATTATTAAAGTAAAAATAGAGCACTCGGGGAGTAAAGTAGAAGAAGTAAATATTACCAAATTTCTTGGACTATACATTGATAATAATATGACATGGGAAACTCATTGTAATTATGTATGTGAAAAGCTAAGTAAATTTTCTAATGCCTTGTATATGTTTAGTAAAATAGCTGACCGTTCTGCACTAATGACAGCTTATCATGGATACGTTGCATTACTACTGAGATATGGCATAATTTTTTGGGGAAATTCTAGTAGTAAAGATAGAGTTTTCAAAGGACAAAAAAGATGTGTGAGAGCAATAAGACGACTTCGCCCTGCAGACGGAATTAAATATTTTAACTGTACCTTGTTTATATATATTTGAAGTTTGTGTCTTTGTTAAAACGAATTTGAAATAGTTTTATAATGTGTTTACATCTAAAAGAGACAGTGATGAGTTGTGTCAAATACCACATAAAACGGCTTTGTTTGGAAATAGTTTATATGGCGTTGCTCCGATAATATCTAACAAGCTACCAAAAGATACACGACAAATCGATAATGAGGTTAAATATAAAGTGACCCTAAAATTTTTTTTGTAAATAAAGCATATTATACATTAAAGGAATATTTAAGTGATGTTAAAATTTAAATTATTATTTATGTTGATAATTAATTCAAACAATCTATTATATTGTTTGACAATGATGATGTGAATTTGTTATAATTTTATATTATACTCAATGAATGGGATAATTGTAATAAGTTTTTTTCTTCTCAACATGACAATTAATTTGCACACCCCATTAGGTAAGAATATAGGATACGCTTTATCTCTGTATCACCATTTGTTACCATAATCTGCAAATAAAGATGATTATGATTATGAGTTTTCGATATTTCTATAATGTAAATCCCGTAAATAACTTATATTATTATAATGTTAGTGACAACAATCAAGTTTAAAACAACAATCTTATAATCTGAGCCTATGATCGGTCATTGAAAAAGTTCCGAGACTACCACAATCACAGATTGGACACGCCGAAAGATAAAAATATTGAGATCACATCGATCACACACAAACAGTAGGTATTAAGTGAATTAACAAAACTTATTCTTTTTACCTTATGGAGATTATCTTATTGTATAGCGTATTTTTTTCCTTTCGATTGAACTTAGAGGGATTAAACATTTAAAGCATTCTTGCCAGTTCAATAGCGCTATACCTTCTTTTCAAGCGATCCTTTTTGATCAGCCGACCAATTACTGACCATTGAAAAGGTTGCTCTAGCCACCACTCTGATCATTGGCCGGGCTATCGATTGTTACCTGGTTAACGTGTACATACTCACCAATATTGCAGAGGTCATTAGTACAGGCGCGGTAGAACGTGCGAAACGTAGGGTCAGTGATCTCATGGTTTAAGTAGTCAGGTTCTTCTTCACACCCTCGCAGGAAACTAGAAATAGCTCCCGCGGGATCCTGTGTGTATTAAACAAGCGTCAACTGTTAATTTCCTTTTATAGTACAAACTGTTTAATCTGTTGGACTAGGTCCAAACAAACACAGTGATTGTTGAAAAAAAAAATGATTTAGTAGTTCAACGAATGAAAAGTGTTGCTGTTAAATTTGTTATTTGATCTTGAACTATTTCTGTTCTTTATATAAGTATCGAAGGCATTGTTTTATCTTTATAACACAGAATATACGCAAAATTGTTATATTGAGTGCACATTCAGCGTGTTTGAATGTCCGATTGTGACTAAAGCGAATTGTGGTACTGCACCACAATTTAAGCGGATCACTTTTGAGCCGCGATTGCCGTATCTACCCTTTTTGTTTTAATCTAAGTCTTTACATAATTATTGTCTTTTTGGCATTAAACGAAGGATGGTTTTAAATGTTTATTCGTCAATTAAATACATACTGAGTCCTTTTAATGATGCTGACTTTATTTATATTTATAACACACACCAATTAGAACTAGCCCGAAAGTAAGCACTGTAGGCTTGTGATATGGGATACCAGGGTAACACAAACATCTGCCACTACCGGGATTCGAACCCGGGACCTCTCCAGTAGGCGATACCTTGAAACCCGGCGTATAAACCACTCGGCCACGGAGGTCGTCTTAACGTGTTTACAGTGAACCAATTATTTACCTTATGTTTTCGTGGATACGTAAATTAGTTAACAGTTTGCTTTGGAACAAAAGTGAAATGTTTTTCCGTAATAATTATAAGAAACACGTAGTTATTCCTTACTGTGAACTCTTGACGCATGATGGTGCAATATGTGAAGGGACAATCGACGGTGTGTGTCGTGTCAGTTATAGTGAGGCAAGACCGATCTGCATCCTGTGATGAGAACGAGCAGGCGTAGCATGTTAACCCTGCAAAGTACGAGAAACTTTTTGATTATTTATTCTACACGCCTAGATAGAGCAATCCTAATAAATCATGCAAACAAAATGGCTCATGTTACGCGTAATATGTGCGTGACTCTAATGTCAGATTGTTTGAAAGCACTCATGAAGTGCGTCTGTAGCGACGAGCGTATCTGTCATATATAGTAGATATTTTTGGCGTGCTTCCGCGCAGTCAACATGTTATCTAGGTGTCTAAAATCATACCATGGGCCATTGATCGATGATCATAGGAAAGGTAAATACGTGGGAAACCGGAGAAATACTGAGACCTTTGTCTATGATCACAAAAAGGTAAATAATAAATTGTGGGTAACTTCATTTAACCTCTCTATCCTATGAATGTAAACGGAGAATATACTGATCAAGAACAAAATATATTAAATATTTCGATTAAAGTTGAAGCCTTCGCTTGCTTTACAATAGTAAATAGAATTAGGCAACACTTCATTTAATTTTGAAAAGTGCGAAAAGCACACAAGTTTTTATTGACTTCTATGGTGACATGAATGCCGGAATTATATTAGGTAACTGTGGGATTCTCAAGTCATCAACAGGACTTCTTCTTCTTGCTACGGGCGTTTCCGCAACTCGACGTCCTTATGGCGCCTGTTTTGCGTGACAGGACGTGCGTGTTTTGCAGGACTTATTGTTTCATGAGTAAATTTTCTGGAATTCTTCTCTAGTTATTGATTTTTTTGGGATTTAGAGAATTCCAAATCCACGCCGCCGTGGTCATTTAGAATGCCTTCAAATAAAGGAACACAGTCTTATTTTTATCCCCGACTGTCTAATTATGACTTAATTGGCTATTTGACAGTATGAAAAATAATGTACCAATTTTTGAAATCTGTATTTAATATGAATATCAGCAGTTATTTTTTTATTCTGAAAGAAGACATAATTAATAAATTTTCAATAAAATCATTAAATAGAAATAATTATTTTGCGCCATGGTGACCATGGTGACGTGCTGAAAACGCTTGGGATTGGCCAAGACTAAAATGACGTCGGACGCTAGTAAACTTCCGACCGACGTGATATTACGTTGTATCGTTTGACGTTCTAACGAGAGTCGTGTGACGTCACACACTAGCAGCGTTGCCAGTTTTTTTTGGAGTTTACTCCTTAAGAATCGAAGCATATATAAGGGGCCCGGTATGAGAAAATTGTGAGGAGTAAAATTTATCGATGAATGACCTCGTTACGTTTTTGGTGCGCATCCTATGTCGCGCAACTTTGACAAACAAAGATGATGGATTGACATTAATAAAATTTTTAAAATCTGAACTGATTTTAGATATTGTTTCTGATAGAGCAATGGGGACAACGAGGTATGGTACAACCATTGATGCGGTATTTTCAAGATTCGTGAACCACGTATCTACGAACGTCCATGTGTCTTATTTTAGTTACCATAAACCACTTGTCACTGTAATTAATAATGCAGACAATGTTGATTTAATTAATATTTAAAAAAATGATAATAGTCTGATAATAATAATTACATAATTTATCAACATTCCTAATGATATATTTATGCACATCTGAAATTGACTATTGTAAAAAGTTTAATATAAAATATTTCGTCGATTAGTTATAATAAATGTATATGAAATGAATAGTACTTGAAAAAGTATTCATTTGACATTGTGGGTTACCTACAATGCGAAGAGATGGCGCTGCCTTGCAGCTTAAGGCTAGGAAAATTTCGACGCGGCTAATAGGGCCGTGGTAGCATAATGGTCAGTGCATTCGCCCAGATAGCGAAGGATGCGGGTTCGAGTCCCGTCCGCTGCCTGGTCCGCGTGGATTTTTTTCTAGTAAACTTTTCTTTAGATTTCAACATCTAGCAGTTAAACGCTTACAAAATAAATAAAAATCATAACTGTAATTGCTATTTCTTCATTCAAATGTTTAATACTTGAAAAAGTATTCATTTGACATTGTGGGTTACCTACAATGCGAAGAGATGGCGCTGCCTTGCAGCTTAAGGCTAGGAAAATTTCGACGCGGCTAATAGGGCCGTGGTAGCATAATGGTCAGTGCATTCGCCCGGATAGCGAAGGATGCGGGTTCAAGTCCCGTCCGCTGCCTGGTCCGCGTGGATTTTTTTCTAGTAAACTTTTCTTTAGATTTAAACATCTAGCAGTTAAATGCTTAAAAAATAAATAAAAATCATAACTATAATTGCTATTTCTTCATTCAAATGTTTAATACTTGAAAAAGTATTCATTTGACATTGTGGGTTACCTACAATGCGAAGAGATGGCGCTGCCTTGCAGCTTAAGGCTAGGAAAATTTCGACGCGGCTAATAGAGCCGTGGTAGCATAATGGTCAGTGCATTCGCCCGGATAGCGAAGCATGCGGGTTCGAGTCCCGTCCGCTGCTTGGTCCGCGTGGATGTTTTTCTAGTAAACTTTTCTTTAGATTTAAACATATAGCAGTTAAATGCTTAAAAAATAAATAAAAATCATAAGAATAAATATATATTTATATATGTATATTATTTTCATTAATTTGTTAATTTACCCTTTCATACAGTATTCATGGACATATAAAAAAGGCGGACAGAGTTTCGGCTAAGACAATACTGAGGCACCGTAATGGCGGCGGCTATTGATGAGTGAGTGAATTGTAGGGTTGCTAGGTTAGCCAATTTTTTTCCAATAAAACACAGTAAAAACATGAAAATATTTTGATTGTTCAAAATTTTACTTTTTGCCAGACTGCGGAGGATAATGTTTTTCGAGCGTATGTATGCATGTATGTATGTAAGTCCAATAATTTGGCACGCCCTACAGCCTGAACGTCTTGACGGATTTTCACATGCGAGGTGTCATTTGATTTGTCGTAATTGTGTGAGTGGCACTCGGTATATTAAAATTTGAAAAAATCAAAATTACAGATTTTATGCGCCAATATGAAACATTTTGAAAAAAAGTAAGTATTTTTATAACCCGTCAAGCGAGGTATCAAAGTAAAGGGTTTTAAAAGAATATTTAGAAAATATACAACTTGTGTAATTAAAAAATAATGAAATTAAAATGTCGAAAATAAAAAAAAATGTACTAAAAAGAAAAAAACAAGTCCAGTAGTCTAGAATTCTGTTTAATAAGGAACAAAGTTACTTTAACAGTCGGGACTCATTAGAAATTCTAGAATGTATCGAATTTTCTCAATATTGGGTAAATCAACTAAATATAGATGGCCTAGGCTGCATTGTCTTTCATATTTCTTAAAATAAACTAACCCCTTGACTAACCCATTGAGTACTGTTTGTAATTGAGGAGTTCCATTGTTTTCTTCCGAAAGTGCTCATAAGATCTCCAGTAAATTAATATGCAGCCATCTCGCTAGTAAAGTGATTAAAACAAAAAAAGAATCATCATAAACGGTCCACGAATCTCGGAGATCTGCGCGAACAACAATAAAAAAAACAAATATGACGCATTGCGAACCTCTTTCTTTTCGAAGTCGGTTAAAAATTTTAATCAACCTTTTGAGGTAATGCATACGTAATAACACGCCGGAGTCCTCCTTTAGTTGTATATAAGTCTTGAGCTTCAAAATGAAGACTAAAAATGACACTACTACATATTTGTTTGGAAATCATTCATTTTCCAGTAATTTCTCCATACTACATTTTCTTTAGGAAATCTGATAAATAAGAATACTAAATAATAGATTGAACTTAATGTCAACCCAATTTCCCATATTTTGGGTAATATGGTTACATGAACATTGGCAACACTGGGCTTTAGACTAGTCATTTTGTCCTTCGAATTAAAATTGATTTCGATTTCTAAAAACTAGAAAAAAGTGATTCAATTATTCATTTACCTATGAAACGTGATTCCTGGATTTTTTTTTCTTTCGGTCACTACGGTTTTTACACCTTTTTACAAGCAAGATATCTTGTTTAGCTTATTTTTTATCTCCACGTAACGTGTCGGCTGCTTTGACGTTTGCACGCGTATTGGCTGACTATTGTGTGAATGTGTACGTACAGCGACCTGGCCACGGGACCTGGCCGACTCTGAGCGACACAGTTTATTGTTTACCGGGACTCTGTCCGCCTTTTTTTTATAAGTCCATAACAGTATCAATCTTTTTTAAGTTAAATAAACTCTTTTTGCGTCTGGTTAGACTATCGAACTTAATAGTCCGGTCAATTTAGACAATTCAAATAACAAAAACCCCGACACAGCCAAATATTGGTGGAGACCTTTGTTTTACCCTTATGAATAAAAATTTAAAAGTCCCCATCAATCCCATGCGAGCTTCAAAAGTTATACGGGGCCAAATGTCAAAATTTAAGGTTTTTTGACTTTTTCTCAAAAACGGTAAGTTTAATCAAAAAAATACCTTAGACTAAAATTGTAGATCTCAAAATTCTCTACAAAAATGGTTCTTACATTTTTTTCTCTAAGTATCACCGTTCCTGAGATATCGTGATTGTGAGAGTCACGTACTACGTAATATACACACATTTGTTACATGTATACATATTCAGGTTATTAAGCAAGCAAAAATACTTATTTGTGTCTCTTTTATGAATGAACTATATACTATATTTTGAATATACCATATAGAGAAAATATATAGTTAAAGTCAGTCCCTTACAGAATCCCCTCTACGCACATGGCCTTGAATAACATGTGGTGTCGTTGTTATACCTGCTCCTTTTAGTGTTAAACGTTCTGTTCGAGTGAATATACGTATTTATTCCAAGCATCTAATATTATAATTTGTGCTGATTAATATTTTAAAAAAATGTCTCAATTTTGCTTTATTTGCAATAAACTTTTGACTGAAGGTGAAACTGTTCCGGTTAGTCGTGGAATGCCAACTTTAATCGATACAAGTGTTACAAGAAATGATGAGTTTACTGAGTATTTAAGAAGTCAAAAGTCCGTTACAATACACGTGGATTGCAGAAAATCATACACCCGGAAAACTTCAA